GGGACTGAGTCTAGCTGAATTCATTTTGTGACTTTGTTAGTTTTCTAGGGATGCTATAACAAAATACCATAGGCGGGGTAGCTTAGACAACAGAAATTTATTTCCTCACACTCTGCAGGTTAGAAGTTCAAGATCAATGTGTCGGCAGCGTGGGTTTCCTCTTAGGCGCTCTCCTTGGCTGGCAGATGGCTGCCTTCTTTCTGTGTCTTCACATGAGCTCTCCTCCCTGTAAGCTGTGTCCCAATCTTTTTTTTTTTTTGACACGGAGTTTTGCTCTTGTTTCCCAGGCTGGAGTGCAATGACAAGGCTCACCGCAACCTCCGCCTCCTGGGTTCAAGCAATTCTCCTACCTCAGCCTCCCAAGTAGCTGGGACTACAGGTGTGCGCCACCATGCCCAGCTAATTTTGGTATTTTTAGTAGAGACAGGGTTTCACCATGTTGACCAGGATGGTCTCAATCTCTTGACCTCGTGATCCACCCGCCTCAGCCTCCCAAAGTGCTGGGATTATAGGCGCGAGCCACTGCGCCCCGCCCCAATCTCTTCCGATAAGGACACCAGTCATACTGGATTGGGACCTAGCCATATGACCTCTTTTTACCCTAATCACCTCTTTAAGTATCTCCCAATACAGTCACCTTCTGAATTACTGGAGGTCAGGACTTCAACATGTAAATTTCGGAAAGAACCCTTTCAGCCATAACAGTGGTCAAATAGTATGGACAAAGCTCTTTATCCTTCCCTTGCCAGGGATCTCTACTTGGTTTTTCACATCAATGCAATCACTGTGTACCCAAAATATTTTTTACTCTGAAGTACAAAAAGATTTACACTCTGAATGGCTGGGCAAATGTCAGGATTAAGATAACTCACTCCAGAGATGAGGTGTGGGAAGGATGGGTGGGAGGAAGCCGCTGTCTCCAGGTGTCAGCCTTGAGAGGAGATCCCTTCTTAATTTCCCTGAGGGACAGGAGGGAACGTGCGAATGCCACTGGCAAACACAGATGGCATTTGGAGCACGGATCTCCCTAAGGCTTGTTGGGTACCCATCCGTGGCTGCAGAAGCAGGTCTGTGGGTTCTGTCTCTGGTACCTAACAGAAGTGAGGAGGATATGGGCTCCAGGAGTTCAAAGTCAGCCACACGTGAGGATGGGCAGGGGATCCTAACCCCTTTGTTTAGCTTCTCTGAGTGACAATCGCCCCTTTTTACTGTCCGTCATTCAAAGATGGCAATGGATGTAAAAGAGTGGCTTTTAAATGTTGCTGGAAAAAGAAAATACTAAAATCTTAAAAAAAAAAAAAAATGAAGAGAGCGGTGGTTTCCTTCTGACTAAGTGTGTTCTATAGCCTCTTGACTTTGGGGATAATGAACTACATCTCAAATCTACTTGGTTTATTTGACTAAAATTATCAGATTAACATATAGGAAGAAGACACGGGAACCGCAACGTACGGCACGCGCGTTCATTTGGTACCTGGCACTGGGGATAGACAGCTGGAGAGAGGGGGAATTTAATTTCCTGGGGCCCATACGCCTCTGAGTGATTGGCAGGTTAATTTTGCTCTCCACTAGGCCTGGTATTGAAAGGAAGTAAAGATGCAGAAAGCTGCCAAGAACTGTTCCTTGCGTTGGCAAAAATTCTAGACCTCATTAGAAAAATCAAGAACTAGATTCAGAAATTTGGAAGGCCAGGGTGAAAGGGATTTTTTCAAGTAATTATAATTATTAAATATTGTCAGAGCCTCCTTTTATAGGTACCTGGTCTCTGGCTAAGCTTACGTAGTATTATACCAACGTGCCTCTGTCCCCATGTTGAGAGGCTCAGAGAATTTAATAAATTGCCCAAGGACGCACAGCAAATTGGCAGCAGATGCAGGCCTCAAACTGGGTTCTTCTAAATCTGGGTCCAGCTCTTTGTCACCTCCCTGTGCTGGCTCCACCGGAGTCCTGTGCAGAGAGGCCCAGCAGTCAAGAGTTTGGTTGATCTTCACAGCTAGAGGGGAGAGAGCGCAGGGTAGTCCAAAGACTTTCCGTTCCTGTCACCCTCTGCCCTTTTGGGGTGGGATGTTCATGCCAAAGCAGCTAAGTGCACAGGTATTGTAGTCAGACAAACACAAGTTCAAATTCAAGCTTCAAGGTCATGTGAGCTTGGACCAATTATCTCATCCCTTTAAGCCTGGATTTCCTTGTTTGTCAGAGGAGGATGATAAAACCAGTATCACAGGACTGCTTTGAAAATAAGATAAATCTCTCTGTGTGTGTTTGTGTATTGTTTAGTAAGGTGTCTGACACTTAGTAAGCCTTAGCTAATAAAAAAAGGTAACAAAAACATTTTTGTTCAAAGAGAGGGTGGGAATCTTAGCATGCCCCAAAGCCAGCTTTGGCAGGGCTGGCAAGGGCAGGAAGGACAACATGACTTGCTGCTGAAGACCACACACGTCTTTGTTCCCATCTCTGCTAGAGGCGCTGCACGCAGTCTTCCTCACACTCACTGCTGCACCCTCAAACCTGGAGAACCAGAGCTGAGAAGCAGAAACCCTCCCAGTGGTCCGGCCCCTGCTGTAGACAGACAGAGGGTCAAGGAAGTTTAGGACCAGAGGCAGAGAGGAGAATGGATAAGAGGGATCAATGCTGGCCCCAAGATGATTAACTGTGCCAACCTGGGGCACTGGCACTAGGGAGACAGCCAGATCGATGGATTCCAAGCAAATGAAGAGCCTGGCGCCTTCCACAGTCAAGCTGTGAAGTTAAACGCGGCGATGGGCCAGACGTTTGGTGAGCAATGAGGGTGATGAAACAGGACACATGTATCTTGGAAACAATACTGATTCTGAAAAATATCTTTGCTCCTTGTCACCTTTCAAAGGTAAAATCGCAGCTCTGTGAGTATGCAGGTAAGAATGTGCATGTGTGTGTGAGCGCGTGGCAGCGTTTGCGTGTTTGGGGGTGTGTATAAACACTACCCCTCTGTCCTCTTTTCCACCAGGCCCCGTGGTGCTGGGGAATGTGTTGCTTATTAGGTAGGTGCAAATAGAATTTCATTCCGATGGTTCCGAGAATCATAGCATATTAAAACTATTCAAATATATCCCATGTACTTATATACTCTGTGGAAAATGTCCTTGTAAAATTAACATATACTCAATTACCTCCTTATTAATGGGAAATTCTGAGGGACTGCCTTCATCCATCACAATAAGCTGGGCCCCTCAGCGTGCCCTGCCCCAAGCTGACAAGGCAAGCTCTGAGGTCCGCAGGGAACCAGGAGGAAAGGCCGTCCCTTTCCATCCACACAAAGCCTACCCTATGCAAAAAAGGCAGGAGGACCTCAAGACCAGGAAGAAGTTATATTGCAGCCCTTATTCTGTGGATACACTCAGAAAGACACGCATGTTCCCGCGAAATCAGTGACTCCATCAACCTCAATCAACAGGCCTTGACGTGGCAGAAGGACTGCAGGAAGCCACGCGGCTGGGAACCCAGTTTCTTATTGCCACGTTGGGCAGCTTCTAGGAGTGCTTCCCGTTTGCAGATATTTTTCCCTTTCAAAGCAGGGTGGGGGTGGTGTACAGCCCTTGCTTGGGCTGGGAGCCAGACGGATGGCAGCTTAATTCTCCCCATTATGCAGGGCAAATACCAAGAAGCATTCCCAGGTGTGTCTGCAGCCGTGAAAATGTGACACGAGTCACAGTGTCTTCGGAGGAAATAAAAGACCACCGGAGTGCGACATGACATCATGGAAAGAGACGCTTTGTGATTTTCCGTATACGATGACACTTTTTCTGATTTAGAGGGGGAAGCTGGGTTTTGAGTTTTCTTTTATCCTCCTCTTTGTTAAAAGTGAGGGGAGGAAGATTGAAAGGACATCTGTGTATTCAAATTATAGAAAGAGAATTAAACTATTTCAATAACAAATTCTAGTACTTTTGCCTCTTTTGAAGATTTCTGAAAGGGTTTTCCTATAGGTTTGTCTCTCACATGTGTGAGAGAGAGCATTTCCTCTGAGGCCTTAGACATAGTGTTGAAGTCGAGATTGTTTTTGTCTTTTTTCCTTTTCTGCTAGCCAAGCCCCCACTTCATTCTGTTGATCTCCTTTAATTGGACATAAGACTGCAAATGTTAAATATTTTTGCCGAATTGAGTTTTGTTTCCAGTCTGGATTTGTCGGCTGTTAAATAGAATGTTTTACGTTTCTCTCTCTCTCTCAAAGAAAATAACAAATACATGTGGGACAGAGCCATCAGTCAATTACATCAGTGGATTGTTGGCAACTCACAGGGAAAAAAAAAGAGCATTTTCACTCTCCTCTTAGGGGAAAGCAATTATATTTAAGAGCAGTAGAAAGCTGAAACTAGTCTGGAACTTCAAAATACCTTTCTTGACTGACCAAGAAAAGGTGCAGTGACTACAATGACAAACCAGCCCCCAACTCTTTTAGAAAGCTACTCTGCCTCATGCTAAAGAGAAAATCAGCGGTGTTTCAGCCTCGGCGAGCAGGCGGGAACAGAAAAATACATTGACAGTAGTTACATAGACCTTCGAATTGAGTAAAAAATTCTTAAGGTACAAAATCTCAGTTTTCCCACAAACCTCCCTTCTGTCCAGAAATTTCCATGCCATTTACTGCCTGACCACGGCAGGAATGTCATTCTTCCTTGTTCTTGATTTTTCTTCTGGATTGTTTTAATTCTGGCTCTCCAGAGCACTTTTCCCTGCTTCCTCTAGGACCAACTCACAACAATGTAACTGACACATAGCATTAGGGTGCAAAACCCCAAATCGTTTCTGACTTGAAACTTCACCCGGGAAAGACCTCTTAGCCAAAGCGATGGCCATTGTGTGCCAGGATAAACCCCTTTCAAAGAGCAAAGGCATCATCACCTCAAAAGCCACAGTCACCGCCCCGACCTTCCGTCCTGAGGGAAGGATTCTCCACTGAATCTCGGGGGAAGACCCCCCACCAGTCCGTGCAAAAGATGAAGAATTGAGCGTGCACCTACCTGTGCCCTTCCATTTCCACCTCTTCCCACCTTCCCCGTTTCTTTTTCCGCTCATTTTTTTTTCCACTTTAAAAACATCCAACTTTGCCTTGGGGATGAGCAGAATGAAATGTCACTTACCTATAAAAAGAGACAGAAGAGAAAGCCATGCACCGCATTACACACAAGTTCTTTGAAATCAAGGCCAGCTTCCTACTTTGAAACTGTAACAATGAGTGAATATTATTTTTTCATCCTACCTTTCTATATTTAATGAAACTCAGGATTTTGCAAGTAGCCCATCCCCAGGGCCTGGCCTCTCTGCATTATTTTCCTTTTGTTTCTTTGCAGCTCCTGTCCCTCTTCACCACCCTAGCCCCACACCATCTGTACCTGCTTCATGGATGAAAGGTCAGGAAGGAATGAGGAGGGGTGCACAGACCCAGAGATCAAGACAAGCCCTCAGATGTGGGCAGCAAGGTTTTGAGGTAGGAGGAGCTGCTTTTCACCTCTTTTCTCACAGGCCGCAGAGATGGGACCCAGGGTCAGCGCCAGCTGGTGCCTCTCAGGAGGAGGGAGGAAGGTCAGCTCCCCACAGGGCGACTTTCCACTTGGTGGCTTCGGGACTCTTTCAAATGGCATGCTCTGAGTCTCCCTCCTCTCTCCCTCCCTTACCCTCCCCCCCTCAGCCCTTCTGGTCGGGGTGTGAATGAATTCACCCAAGATCTCTATCCCCACTTCATCCTGCAGCATCTGTCTTTCAGACCTGCTTCTACAGAAAGCCTCATTATTGCAGCACCCTGAGGCCAACAACCACCTGCATGGGTCATCGTGTTGAGTCCCCGGCCTCAATGCAGGATGCAAACTGGCCCACCCATGTCCTAGGGGATCCTTTGAGAACCCTGAAATGCTGAGCTCCCGCCTTGCCTGGCTCCTGGCCCCAGAGGCTCCCTGTCCTCAGGCAGCAAGCTCCTTGTGGCCGACTGATTCAGTCCTTTCAGCTGCAGGAAAGCCAGGCTCTAAGCATGCTACTTGCAAGAACAGCTCCTCGCCACACCACGCTATGCAGCGAAACCTTCACATGCTCACATATTGGAAAATCAATTTCAATGTCCTGCCAGTGTCTTCTTCTTACTATGCCTGAATAACTCAGTTCCTTTTAGCCTCTTCTTAGAGATTTCAGTTTTCCGTGTTTCCTCCTCCAAGCTCCTCTGAGCCTTTCTGAGGAGGACAGCTTAGAGCTGAGCCCTGGAGAGAAAAGCATCCATGTGTCCCCTGTTAGACCAATTCTGTTGCTGCATCGCCCAAAGAGTTTTCCAATCAAGATGCTCTGCCAGAAATGGAATTACAGTCAAATATTGTTGGGAAATGCTGCGTCCCAACCACATTAGGTATATTAAAAACTTGGAGAGGGTTCAAGGTAAAGATCTATGCAGGCCAGGTGCAGTGGCTCACGCCTGTGAGCTTAGGAAGCAGAGGCGGGTGGATCATGAGGTCAAGAGATCGAGACCATCCTGGCCAACATGATGAAACCCCATCTCTACTAAAAATACAAAAATTAGCCGGGCATGGTGGCACATGCCTGTAGTCCCAGCTACTTGGGAGGCTGAGGCAGGAGAATTGCTTAAACCCAGGAGGTGGAGGTTACAATGAGCCGAGATTGCGCCACTGCACTCCAGCCTGGTGCCTGGCGACAGAGCAAGACTGTCTCAAAAAAAAAAAAAAAAAAAAAAAAAAAAAAAAAAAAGATCTATGCTTAGACTTTTCCTAAGAGTATTTGACTCAGAAATGTTTCTTGCTATACATAAACTAAAACATCACACTTCAGAAGGATGACTGCTTTTTTTCCTGTTATGGATGTTAAACTAAATGTAATTGATCTGGCATTATCACAAGCAGTGGCCAGAGGACCCTGAAGTGAATCCCCCGTCTGGGCAGAGGACCCAACATACCAAGTCTGGCTCCACTGCCTCACCCAGTGTGATGGACAGCTGTCCTCTTCCTCCCCGCAGTTCTCTCACCTGTGAGATGTGAGGACCCCAAAGCACCCTGCATACCCCACTAGGATGTGGTGGGCTGCAACCATCCTTTAAATGTACTTTGCAAACTGTAAAGAGCAAAACACTTTAAGGTCTGGTGGTGTCAGGACCTCTGTTCTTGAGGCCACACTCACCGGAGAAGAGACTGCTTGGCCTCAGCTGCCCTGGGAGCTGGTGAAAAATGCGTGGCTTTGACTGTGGTCAGCCAATGAGAAATCAGAGGCAACAGTTTCATGAATACTTCCTCTGCTCTGTACCCCGAGGGAGGGGACTGATCCCAGAGGTCTTTTCCATCTTTAATATCTGTTCTTACAAGTCTTCCTCTATTGCACAGGGATGCAGGGATGCTCTCTCTGACTTCTGAGTACTTACACCTTTTTTTCTAAGTGAGATGAATTCTCACTCTGTCACCCCAGGCTGGAGTTCAGCGGCACAATCTCAACTCACTGCCCACCTCTGCCGCCCTGGTTCAAGTGATTCTCCTACCTCAGCCTCCTGAGTAGCTGGGATTACAGGTGTCTATCACCACATCCGGCTAATTTTTTCTATTTTTAGTAGAGACAGGGTTTTGCCATGTTGGCCAGGCTGTTCTCGAACTCCTAACCTCAGGTGATCCGTCCACCTCAGCCTCCCAAAGTGCTGGGCTTACAGGTGTGAGCCACTGCGCCCAGCTGCTTACACCTTTTAAAGCTTGCGATCCTGCTGTCTCTGCTCTGCGGCTTTGCATATGGGCAAGTTTCTCAGCAGACCAGGAACCTCTAAGTATTGGGAGGAAAGAGACCATGCTCGTATGCCTCCTCTATTACTCTCGAATAAGAGAGAACGCAAGGACAAACGGGCATCAGTAAAATGAGGCGTCCATGTAGGTGCATGGATATAAGAGATCACCACGTGGGCGTGGAATGTCAACGGTGGGGGAGGCTGTGGGTGGAGGGAAAAGGGGTCTGTGGGAGTGCTCTGTATTTTCCCCTGATTTTACTGGAACCTAAAACTGCTCCAAAAATAAAGTTTATGAATCAAAAAAAAATTATAGGCCCTTAAGTTCTTATTCATTCAAGAGATCTTCTCAAGCACATTCTATGTGTAAGTCCCAGAATAATTTCTTATTGAATAGGAGAATTCTGAGAGTTGACGGTATGTTCTACATACAGAGGATGGAACGGAAGAAATGGGACTGAGATCCCAGCCCTGGGGGAGCTTGAAAATGTAATGGAAAGAGAGGAATATGTCTATAAGTAGTTAGGGAAATAGAAAACCATGTTGTCCCAAGATTATCTCCCACCCCTTTATCTTCGCAAAGCTTATCTGCAATTTAAACCCAGATTAAGCATCACCTGGCCCCTTAGGTCTTCCCAGAGCTCATCTCAGAATGTCTCACTCATGTCTCACTCTCCCCCTCATACTCAACAGCTTTGCTGCCAGCCTTGCCCTGTGATTCTCTTCTGTTTTGCCATGTGTTCGAGTCTGCTCTTTCTACATTTTGACTTTGCAACCCTTCACAACACCTAGCCTGGGGCTTGCTGCAAAATGAGTTATAAGAAAGCTTGAGGTTTCCAGACCTTTGTGAATGTGGAATTTGCAGATAAGAGATGGTGGCTCTATACACACTACTGCGATATGCTGAGATAGTGCTGGGACTACATAGATAAGAGATACGATGCCCACCTCCCTATGTCCTGGCAAGGCACATGGATGAGAAGGTGCTGAGCTGTACTATAGCATCCTATTGACAAGACCTAGAGATAGGCATGGGGTACTCTGAGGGGATGGAGGTTAAGTGTCTTCTATTTTGGTGCTAAGAACAACACAAAGAAAAAAACCTGGGATTGGTGGAGACCTTCAACAAAAGCTTCCAAGAAGAGGCTGGCCTTTTGCGAGCAGGTGCCTGCTGATATGCAGCATTAAAAACACGAGTCCGGGCCGGGTGCCGTGGCTCATGCCTGTAATCCCAGCACTTTGGGAGGCTGAGGCAGGTGGATCACGAGGTCAGGAGATCGAGATCATCCTGGTCAACAAGGTGAAACCCCCTCTCTACTAAAAATACAAACAATTAGCTGGGCATGGTGTCGCGTGCCTGTAGTCCCAGCTACTCAGGAGGCTGAGGCAGGAGAATTGCCTGAACCCAGGAGGCGGAGGTGGCGGTGAGCCAAGATCATGCCTTTGCACTCCAGCCTGGGTAACAAGAGTGAAACTCTGTCTCAAAAAACAAACAAACAAACAAAAAACCCAAAAAACACTGGTCCACGCTTGGCCCTCCATTCCTCTATGCCAGGGAAAGCTTGCCTTATTTTTCTCCCTTCTTGCACTGCAGAGTTCTTCTGCAATGGAATTCCCCGCTGACCTTCCCCGAATCTAAGGCTGGCCTCAGATGCTTGCCACTTCAAAGGGCTCAGAACCCTAACTCTCAGACTGGGCCAGTGCCAGCTTGACTCCGGGCCTCCACTCAAGGCTCCCCTCACCTGACCCATCTCGATGAATTTTTTTTTTTTGGCTGGTCTTTATAGGGCCACTGTAAACCCACAAGTGGAAACAGCTCAACTGCTCAATGTCGGTTTCATTTGAAGAGTTTGTCCTTCTCCAGGCCCGCCTTCTCCCGCTAACAGTGAGTGCGGAGAAGCACTTGGTTACCCCTCAGTTCCAGAACCAGGGACGCTCCTCAGCCTCCAAGAGCTGAGCAACAGTGCTGGGCCACCATGGCGGCGCACGGAGCACAGAGGACTTGGCCAAACTAGAAAAGGACAGATTCCAGGTTTCCAGTGCTTTCTGCAGAAGTGGGTCATCTTCCTGGAAAGTGTTTATAGTGACAGTTACATGCTTACTCCAAACCTGGACCTAGACTAGCTGTGTCTCAAACACTCTCTCTGAAGACTTTTGGGGCTTCAGGAAAAGAAAAACAGGGTGAAAAACCAGGAGTCAGCACGTAGGTGCAGAATGAGGTAGTGCCCCTTCCTCCTCCCACTGGGCTCTCATGCCCCGCCCTCCTCCTTTGTCTAAACCAGAACCAGAAAACCCATCAGCAGGAGCTCTGCCCCCTGTGACCTGTAGCAGTATCTTTGAGACGCAGGCTACAGGTAGCCAATCCTCCAACTCCTTCTCCTTAGC